CTGAAGCCCCGGATTCATAGAGAAAGTCCCATTAAACAACTCTTCGAACTTATCACTGTGTGTCAGAGATACAGGACAAGCCACAAAATAACCAAGTCTTTTCCTGATTCAAGAAATTGGGGGTCGGGGTGGGGACAGAAAGAGAGGAAAGGAGATGGAGGGGAGAGACAGACAGAGACAGAGGGAGACAGAGAGACAGAGGGAGAGATGGAGAGAGAGGGAGAGAGAAATAGAGACAGAGAGAGAAAGAGATGGGGGCATGCCAATGCCAACGCCAATGCCAACACCAACGCCAACGCCAACGCCAACACCAAGGTCTGTGGGACCTTCAGACATCTCTGTCTAGAGGCCTCCATTCCAAGCGGCCACCTTGATTCTAAAGGAAAATTATGAATTGTTAATTTCAATAATGCAAAAAGGCCTTCAAAGAGATTGGCTTTTTGCTGATGAGAAAAGGTCATTCATGTATGTCAGACCACCCCAGACTTCGACCATAAAACGAAAGTGTACGTTGTTTTACATAAAAGTTTTTTGGCGTGCAACATAACCCCCTCATTCGACGATCATTAGCTCGCCTCAGAGCATCTCCTAGTGATGCCTCCAAGTTTCTGAGAGCTCACTGTCGCCCAGGGAGCATTTTCCAAGTCCTTCCCTCCCAGAGCACTCTCCCTGTCACCGGCAGCTGATGACAAGGGGAACCCTTCTCTTGGGGCAAAACTGCATCCTGTGGCACCGACTCCTTGCAAGAGTCCATGCACGGCTGAGATGCAAGCGTCCACGTGAGGCCGGACACAGACCCGCTGCAGTGGATCCTCACTGCCCTGGAGGACACAGAGCTCCTGGCATTCAGAGCTGTGTCACTGCAGTGTTGTGAGATGCAGCACAGGTCACAGAAGGGAAATACCGTTTTCACTGCAGCACCTCTAAGCGTCTTATGTTGCAGAGTCCAGCTCCAAATCAGCAAGTCCCAGAGAGCATAATTTCCATCCATCTCTAAACCTAACCCTGATTCGTTTCCAACCAGAGAATTAGCCAGTTTGTAGAACCCTTGAGGAAGGGACTTTTTGGTCTCCAGCAGTTCCAGACTATCACTTGTTTGAAACACACTGAATTGTGCTTTTCAAAGTGTAACGCGCACCGTCCACTAGGCCTTCTGTGATAACGCAAACACCTACAGCTATGCTGTCCAACATGGCAGCCTCTAGCCACAGGGGCCAGGGAACACTTGAACTGGGATTACTGTGACTAATCTTAAAATTTTATTTAACTTTGTTGTATTTGAATTAAGCACCCTCATGGGACTCGTGGCTACTGTACTGACACTGTAAGGTTTAAATTAGTTAGTCCTTAATTTTTGGAGATGTCTTTCCTAAAATCAGGATTATCAAATCAAACTTAAGATCCAAATATTGCTAAAATTGTCTTTGTGAGACAGAGGTGTGATTGTCCCCAGACGTCCTTCATGGTTCCCTCCAGTTCTGTGCCAGCCTCTAGTCTATGAAGCTCAGGCTCCTCGGTGACACTTGGTCCTTCTCACCGACTGACCTTCGTAGGGTCCGGTGTTTAATGCCACTGACTCTGGCATAACAGTGCAACCCGGGATTAAATGATCTACCGCACATAGAAATGGCGAAACAAAGCAGCCTTACATTCATCTATTCCTTGAGAGTAAGACATTAATTAATGTTCACTGAGCACCATGCTGACTAATTTGCTGTATTTTCCCTGAGATTCTCACAGCGTCTCTCTAACGTATGCACCAGTAGGCCCCTGCCTTCCCGCTGAGGACACGGACCCGCTGAGAAACAGCCTCCCACGGTGGCCGGTGTGAATCGGTGGGACTGGGAGGCGGTAAGGTCCCTCAGTGGAGGGTCCTGCCTTGTCCACCTTCGTGTCCATTGCCTGCCTGGTACCAGGCACCATGTGGACGGTGTAGCAGAGGCTGCAGAGAGGGCCAGCGAGTCAGGTCCTAACCCGGCTTCATCCGGTTCTTCCCCACAGGGCTCCGGGCTCAAACCTCCAGAGTCATTTGGAGGTGAAGGCTGCCCGGGGGACACTTCTCTGAAAAGGACCAGGGTTGGGCAGGTCAGAGGCCCCCTGTGACACCTGTTCCTCTCTGCTGCTGTGGCCGGAAGCAGCCACAGAACACGGTGAACGAAGGTGGACGGAGGCCCTGCGTCCAAGGCTGGTTTGAAAACTCCCTGCTGGCTGGACTTGTCATCCTTTGACCTCTGGTGACTGTGAACAGGCGACAGCCTTCCCTGCTTATTTAACAAGAGCTGATTGCTTGGTGGAAGCACATCCATCCAGTAACCTTCCACGGCAACAGCAGCCTGAAGTCCTGCCCAGTTCTACCTTAAAATGCCAGCATTTGGTATTATTTCTTCTTATTTAGATAGTTCAAACAGGGTCTTTTATTCCCCAGCACAATTCCCTTGCAGTCCCACTCATGATGAACCCCGCAGAGGCGGGGCAGGAAAGCCACATCCACCAATCAGGACACCTGTGTTTGCTGTGCCCTTTCATTCACGCTCCAGGCGTGCGCAGATGACCTTCTGATTGCGCCAGGCCTCAGGGTCCCACACTTAGCAATTAGGGTGCATTTCCCAAGGAGAAGAGGAAAGCTCATGCAGCCTTTAGAAACAGAGAATCCAAGGCTGAGTTTAATTCCAGTTAGAACAGGAAAGCAAACCAAATACACAACACCCGGAAGCTCCCTCCGGAAACACATCTTCTGTGAGCACCGTGTGACACTGAGCGTCTATCACTGGGGTCTTACAATACTTCCGTGCAGGTGTTTCGTTTTTAATTTTTCCTTATGTTATTTTATTCATTTTGTTGGGAGTGACCATGAACTAATGAGACCTACAGGGGTGATCAAAAATATGATAAATATTTAAATTTTAAAATGTATTACAGGAAAGGACACGTAGCCATGAATCCCCTTCAAAATCCTCCCCTCTCATTTCAAACACACCGATCCCATGGTTCTGGCCATTTTCTGCAGCTGCTCTGGAGTCCTCTTTCCTGAGGGTCTTTACAAGGTGTGATAAAAAATACAATAAATGCTGCTACTGAGCGCCATCCAATAAAAAGGCAGGCTCATAAAAATACGACACTATGTCTGCATCTACCTTGTTCACTGGATCTGGTACCGGGTGACTTTTGGCCTTCCCTAAAGCCAAAATGACCATGAAAAAGAAACGTGTTGAATCCATTTAGGACATTGAGGCAGCCAGGACACTGCAGCTGAAGACCCCCAGGAAAGAGGACTCCAGAGCTGCTGCAGGAAGCGGCAACAGCAATGGGATAAGTGTGTTCACAGGGGGGGAGGGTTATAAAAGGGATGAATGACACAACATCGTCAAATTTAATAAATTTTTAGAAAACTCAGCCAGGCATAGTGGCACACACCTGTAATACCAGCAGCTGGGAGGCTGAGGCAGGAGGATCACTGTGAGTTCAAGGTCATTCGTTGTGACTTTCGCTTTGAGTGTGTGAGGGCGGTTTAGCTCTCCCAGCTCTCTTTTCCCTTATAGAGAAGCCATAAAGTCCCCATCACCGAGGCCCTGCGTGGTGAGAGCCAGGTAGGAAGCCTAGCAGCAAAGGCCGTCAGGAGCGAGGTGAGGAAGCTCCATTTGCAGTCTCACTACGCCCAGAAGGGGCAGTTCCGGTCCGCGATCACAGTACCCGCAAAGCCCTCAGTGCGCCTCAGGCTTTCCAAGTGGAGCCGCGAGTGGCACGGAAGGAAGCGCGCTGTGCTCCGCGTCCCCTGGGTCCTGGCTCCACCATGACAAGCGTGCAGCCCGCGTGAGGCCAGGCTGTCGCGATGGGCAGACATCAGCAGTACCGAGAGGCGCACTGAGATAGAAACACACACCGTACAGACGGGACCCCGCCTTGGCGCGCTGTAGGAGGGCGACAGCCTGCGACACCCAAGGCAGTGGGAAGAGATTCTGAGCCCCAGAAGGGAGCAAAGCCGACACCTCGGGGACTGAGCCCCAGCACTCCCGTCGTCCCGCCGCACAAGTGCAAGCACTTCTGCTTCCCCAGTGGATCTGGGTGCGGACAGGAAGCAGCTATCTCTGGCAACACCTCTTCGCGTCATTCGTACTTTTATTGTCATTGTATAATTTAACGAACCGTTGCTAGGTGCATCTCCGGGAAAATAAGAGTTAAACATGTCCGTGTTTCTGAGAGAGACTGTTAAATCATGGAAGAATTTGACCAAAGGAAACTTTTTCAAACATGACTCAGAACTGTAGGATCTCCATCTAAAGTGTAGATGAAGGATTGTAGCTGCGAAGGAGAAAACTCTGGCACTAACCTATCAGAAATAATTGCTTCGTAGTCATTAATAAGTTCTCCGCCCATAGGGACAGTTCGAGGGAAATGTTATGGGGACGTAGGTCGCGTCCCGGAGGGTTGACGGTTACAGAGGTGGCCACACACTTACTTTGCACTGTGTATTTGAGAAAGTTGCCTTTTGTGAAACCTTTGCATGCATTTACTGGAGGCCCCCAGACCCCATGACTCCTAGCTCACCCCAGAAACAAAGGCTAAGTCCCAGATTGGCCTAGATTACACCAATCCATGAAGCAGTTATTTTAGGAACAAGTTTACCCCGATAAGTACCGGCAGGGTGAAGACCCGGTGCTGAGAAATGCGCTAGAGGTCTCCCTCCCGTTAGCGTGCTCTGTGGCAGCTCTCCCTGCATCCAGGATATCATCAACACACATCCGCTTCGCACTACTTTCATTTCTGACTTCCTCATTCCCCACCAGACCTGATTTCCCTGTTTTCTGCTGGAGGCTTTCAGCTTTGAGCCAGTTTCCCGGGAGTGAGGGCAAGAACCCGGAGAGAAGGGGAGTCTTCCCACAGGAGACCCCCGGGCTCCCCAGAACCCCGCCTGATGCAAGCGATATTAGACAATCCAATGCTTGTCCTCCATGTGTATCACTGCAAGAAACACGGGGCAAGGTCCACCTAGCACAACCGTGAGCCAAACATCTGCAGGAGTTTATTCCGAACGTCAAGGTATTTAATACATGCAAACGAGGCACTCAGGTAGGTGCGGTGCTTATGTGTATAACGGTTTGTGTCCCTCTTTGATTCTGCTCAGGGAACCGGCCCCAGTCACAGTCACAGTGAGTGACAGGATTTCCGTGGGGTCACCTTCATCAGGAAACTGGGAAGAGAGGTCCCCTGGATGACGTCGGCTATGGACAGGCGTCACCTTCACACCTATAGAAACCACGTGTCTTCCCCACACCTGGCTTGGGAGTTCTTGCTGTGCTCCACACATTCTAGCTCTCTCTGCAGTTTAAAATTTGGTAAGCTCATTTTTCCAGCTGAGGTTGACTCTGGCCAGGGAGACTTTGCTCTCCCTTCAAGTAACTGCTGCGGGTGTTTCTCTGCTCATGATGAAGTTTTGTCCCAGTAAATTCACTGTAGGCTGAAAATAGCAGTAAGCCAAAGCACATTTCAGACACCTGGCCTAGGGAACAGCACAGCTCGGGCCAGTGTAACATAAAGCCCCCAGAGTGCTTGCGTGGGCCTACCATGGGCAGAAGTGCCTCATGAAAAGCCTGCTCTACAATGAAGTGTGAGATCCTCCTGCAGTGTATTAATTTTGTAAGGAGGTGAGACGCCATGTGCCGGGACAGGGGTCCCCCTTCATCCACAGCTGAGCAGGGGAGCTGGAGAGCGTTAGACACACTGATGCCGGTAACTGACCCGTGCTGGGGAGGCTGCCGCAATGAGGCAGGCTCAGTGCCTTCCATTTGCTGAATTCTGGGAGCTGGGGCCCAGTGTGAACTCTGTGACGATATGCGGACACCAGTGACTCAAAGCAAAGGTTTTCTTAGCTAATGGTTTCCACGTACTTTGACTTCTCTCTTCCTGCGTTAATATCACAGCCAACTGAATCTTAAAATCCATGGATATCCCAGGTTTAAATGCTCCCCAGCCATCTTGGAAGAACCAGGAGTCTGCTGCGATGCTCCTATGTAATTTGAAAGAAAAGAGGCAGAAAAATAAACGACTGTAACCAACAGTGACTCTTACTGTCCTGACCCAAAAAGGGCGTTTGATGTTTGATCTGTCACACCCATCCTGCTGTCACCTGCTAGCGGACATAAGGGCCGCCAGTCAGAGTCCAGGAGCTTCCCTTCACGGTGCGTTTTACCTGGGTGTGTTATTTGATCTCTCTGACAATGACCTGAAAAGCAGAAACAGGAACTAGGTTTCCTAGGGCTGTCGTTTCGGTAAACGTAACGTCTGGAAAGATTTCAGTGTGAGGTGGTGTTACGGTTCATACGGGGATCACGATGCTCCCCAAGAGCCTCACATGCTCACAGGCAGGGCTTCTGGAAAGCTATGGATCTCAGGGCGATGAGCAGACCTGTTGCTAGGAGGCGGGGCCTGGTGGGAGGAAGTGGCGCCTGGGAGGCGGGGCCTGGCTGGAGGAGGCGGTCCCTGGGCGTGGCCTGGAAGCTCCATCTCGCTCCGGCTCCTCCCTTCTCTCTCCTTCTTGCCCTCCACCCTGGCCCTTCCACCAAGCAGCCAACCGAGGACTGCAGCCTCTGCAAGCTGCGAACCAAAATAAACCGTTCCGCGTTTGCTGGAGTCAGCTGTGAAGTCCCAGGGATGAGAAGGGTCACCAAGACAGCAGCACAAGAACACCGCCAGCAGACCACCACTCGCAGGGGTGGCCTGACCGCTCAGGACTCCGTTCTTCTCCTGCGGCTCCTCGCAGTGCCAGCACTGACTGCGAGCTCCCGGGCAAGTGTTGGAGACAACCCGCGCTCCCGGCACAGCAGGGTCAGGGCTCCCGCTCCTTGCTCCAGGCAGGGCTCAGCCGCGCCCGCGCCCCTTTCCTCCTCCCCTGAGACCCATGCGTGTGAGCACAAGTGCATGCTAATTAGAGGAAACAAAACTAAAGAAAGCGCAAGAAGGGCGGGGCGGGTGCGTGTGAAGGAAGAGAATTTTCACGGGGATTAACGGCAACGTATCTTCTACTGCAATACATTTTTTTAGAATTTAAAAAAGAATTTATAGATAAAGTCTCCCTGTTGCAATCCCTTCAATACAATCATCACCGTATTTGCCCAGAGCATTTTGTCCTGAAGGCCTGTCTAGAGTTTTCAGGTCTGTAAAATGTGCTAAGGTTCTTTCTCACCTGCCTCATGGAGTCATTATGAGCTAAGTTCAATTAAAACGCTTAGCAAAACCTGTGGCCTACAGCATGGTCTAAAGTGTTAGTTTTGATGACTTGTGACGTATTTACAAAGTAATTTATGCTCTACAAAGTAATCCCAAAATTTGCTTCAATTTAATCATTGTGATTATTCTCAAACAGTTATTGATTCCCACTTTACAGGTTGGTAAACTGAGGAAGATCCCACGGTCTGCTCACACCACCCACTAGAGAGACAAAGCTGGGTTCCAGCCCGTGGTGTTTCCACCCGTTGTGCCTGGACAGAGCAGAGGTGGAGGAAGGTTGTTGTGGTTTGGGGTTTTTGCGAGGGGAACAATATAATACAGGACACACATTTTATAAGACTGTTTATAATAGTCACCCAAAGGATCATATACAAGAGAGTACAGGAAACCTGTCCACACACTAAAGACTGAAGAATCCAGCTGAGGGCCTGGATCCCACGGAAATGTCCTGCATGAGTCCAGCTGAAGACCTTGAGCCCATAACAATGCCTCCCACAAGTCCAGCTGGAGGCCTAGAATCTATGACAACGTCTCATGCAGGTCTGTTTCACAGATCTGTGCTGGGAAGGCCCAAAGGTCAGTGGTGGAATCTAGGAAGTCTGTGCCAGCGGGATGAAGGATCTGTGCTAGCAGGCTGAGGGATCTACACTGGAGCCAGGAAGCGATGCTCAGAACAACCAGAACTCCCCCGAAAGATGCCACAGCCATCCTCAGCAACAGTGAGGTCCCGAGCTCCTCCCATGATCAAAATGACCAAGTTCCCATCATGGAAGCCAACACAGCAAACTTCTCCAGGAGACTGGCAAGGCATCATCTTCCCTTCTGGAGCCAGGAAGCGGTGCTCAGAGTGAGGACCAGAGCTCCCCCAAAGTGAACTGAAGCCGTTCTCAGTACCATTGAGGTCCGAGCTCCTTGGAGGGTGAAAACAGCTGAGTTCATCAGGAAAGCCAGCATGATGAGCTCCTCCAAAACAACCAACAGCTCCTTACAGCTTCTACCAGCTCCCAATAGCTTTCTCTGCTCCCAACAGCCTCACTTCTTCTCCAGTTCACCCTCTTATGCTGCTGGCAACAGTCCCCAGGTGGGCCTCCCGCACCCAGCACCGAGCTTACTCAGTTCAGCTGGGGGTTATAAGTTGACCACCAGTTGTCATCCACCACAAGGGTCTGACGTGGGCTCTCACTTTGTCTTCCAAGGCGTTTTCCTATGAGCTGGGGCACAATGGGCGTGCTCCCCAGGCCCACCAGAGCATCACCCCCAAACCAGCTGCCCAGATGTCCCCATGCTTGATTTTGCTAACAGTGCGCCCCTTGGGACAACACAACCGCCTTCCACGTGCAAAACTGACCCCATTCCTGGTCGGAAGACAGCTACTTCTCGCTTCTTGCTTAGGCGTGTACCTGGCACCAAGACGATTTAGAGACAAAGCCAATTAGCTACCAGCATGGACTGGAAAACTTCCTCTCCGTGAAACCAATTTCCTTGAAGTGCTTATTTATGAGCATCTCCGCGCTCGAACCCTTTTTACTGTAATATCGATATTTAATCTATTGTTAATCCAATGACTGCTGAAGAACACGCCCTGCCCCAGAGGCACTGATTGCTGTGCTCCGCTGGCACCGGATGAGGTGGACCGTGGGCAGCAAGCTGTAGTGTGAGCGGGGGGGCTCCTGATGGGATAAACGTTCGCATCCCCGTCCTCTCCCTCTTCCCTTCAGCTCCTTGCTTAATACTTCCCCTGGGGCTCACTCTCGGGGTCCTGGGCAGAGGTCAGACCTGCTTTCTGTTCCATAGTGCTCACAGCGTTCTGCAGTGCGACTGGTCACTGCCGCACGAGGGCTAGGCCGACGCCAACAGGACGGGCCGCTCAGCCAGTGCCTGTCCTTCCCTCGTGTCACACAACGCTGGGTCCCTCTTCTGCCAGAGCCAGGCGCACAATGGCTCATTGAGGGCCTGTGGCTGGCGCTTTCCCCTGCTCTGTGGCTTCAAACAGAAAGCTACTATCTTTCCCAGCCCTCTCTGAGGGAAGTTGTCTTTTCATCTGATGCTCCAAAGCACGCTATTCTGTGCAGATGCTGGAAAACTCCGTGGCCGAAGAACAAGTCTGTCTTTCTGACAAAAACAAACACACAGACAGATGTGTAGGAGACGCAGAATCGAAAGCCGTTGTCCGGTTTTCTTAGGACCCGGCTTCCCACCAGGAAGGACGTTCAGTACGGTAGGAGGCAGTTGGAAAGCAGTTTCTCTCTCTCATAGGTCTGGGGCAGAAGCATTTTTCTCGGGGCCGCTGTGGCCTGTGGATACTCTGTGCAGTCTCTCAGGAGCATAAGGCAGAACAGGCAGAATGTGAGACAAAATGCTGCATGTTAGATCCTACCAGGCCTTTCTTTTTTAAAATTAATCTTTAACCGGTGCACAAAAGCATAAAACTATATATAATAACAGGCGACAGGATAACGTTGTGATGCAGGTGTGGAGATGGTGTGCAGTGTTTCAGTCAGGCTAAACATGTCTAGAAGGCTCTTCCATTTGGGTGTTTGTCTCTCCAGCTCATAACAATAACCTCAGAAATCTTGTGGATTCAGAAACCAATGCAGAATAGATTTTTGTAAATGATTGAAAATGTCTGCTCAGGAATCAATCATCCCTTCCACAGAGATAGGGACGTGACACACACACAGCCTTGCCTTGTTAAAAAGCTAAGGACGAACATGACCCCCGAGCTGTATCAGAAATGACCCGCGGCTTAAGTTACTGGTTTGAGGAGACCGTTGGTCTGTCACTTTAATCGAGCCGGGGAGCACCACTCATCTGCAGGGTTCCTCGCCTGCCTGTGTGTTCACCGGTGCCGTCTCCTGACAGGCTCCGGCGTGAACCTCCCGTGTAAATGTGGCGATGCCTATCGGGAAATGGCGTCCACGTCATCTGAAAGACAAATGGTGCTGGGTCTCCCCAGAGGACAGTTCGCCTCAGGGCCAGTTTTCTCCCTTCCTGCCTCGCCTTCCTCTCCCTGCTTCTCCCTTCCTCGAGAGACACTGCTCTGCTCCCTCAGGACGTAAAAGCACCGAGAGACAGGACTACAGGCGGGCAGGTGGTGCCTGATGTGTGGCGCAGGTGAGCTGTGGCCCTGCTACATGTGACGTCATCCCTTTCAACCCAAGGAGCGTCTCGCACTGTGGCTATTTTATTCAGCTTGTGTACTTTGCCGACAAAAGCATTGAAAAACTAATCTTGAAAGATCCACATGAAACACTGTTCTTCAGGCTAAAATCAGAAGTCAAAGGTGAATTTTTTTTTTACATTTTGTATTTTTAAAGTACCATCAGAATATTTTAAAGGGTTAAATTTTGTGATATTTTCATATGTAAGTCAGTGTTTGTTGATTGAATACATGGGGTTTTTAGGTGCGAGTTACTCCAAGTGTACCACAGGGAACCCTCTTCTTGGGAAGAATGAGAAGATAAAGAGAAAGGATTTCTGCAGAGAGGATGGGGAATAGCAAGGCATGAAGAAGGTGGAGATAACCACACTATGTTCCATTTTCCCTTACGGGTTTCACTGCAAACGAACGTGTTCATACTAGGATAAGGCAAGTATTATTCTGGGAACTAGATGCAGGCTCCGTGGAGGAAGAGCAGCCTTGCATTCTGCTTGCTGACTCTATTCTCCAGAGTCTGCTGCTTTTACACCTGGCAGATTTATAGCAAGCTGGGCCAGGCTGGCAATAAACAGGAGGTCACAGAATGGCTGCCTACTGCCGGCTGGCACAGCCACCTCCCCAGGCCCCACCGGTCTGCACGGAGTCCCCACTGCAGTCAACCTGCCTTCTTCCTATCAGAAGGAAAGGAAGCGGCTCTTCCTGAGGGGCTCTCCCCTCACGCAGCCAGGCCACTGGCAGTTGTGCTAAATTTTGCTCTGGCTGGGGGCCAAGACGGGCTTCTGCCAGGAATAAGAGCTGGCAGCCCTCCTTGCTGCACACGCCCGTTCCGCTGGCGGCAGAGGCTGCGCTGCGCCGAGCAGGGGTCAAACACACCGTCACCGCCACCTGCTGCCACGTGAGGGTCGATCACTCAGGGGAAGGGGAAGCCAAGAGAGGAAACAGCGCCAGCGTGGAGGAGCGGAGGAGCAGGAGCGGAGGAGGGGCGGAGGGAGGAGGCCAGCCGCAGCCAGGACTGCTGTGCAGATTCCGCTCTTCCCGCTGCGGTG